AACAAACAAATATGTGTTGGAAGAAGTACAGCCAGAATAATCCGTAGAAGCCAGGATAACTAGACTTCATCTTTCATACTCTGGACATACATATTATTAGGGGGGGACCAGTCCTTGGAGAAGGACACCATGCTTGGTAATGTGGAGGGTGAGCAAAAAAGAGGAACACCCCCAGCTAGCTGTATTGGCATAATGGCAGCAGCAACGGGCTCAAGCGTCACAACAATTGTGAGGTTGGCAAGGACTAGGTAGTGTTTTGTTCTGTTTGCATAGGGTAACTGATGTATGTTGGGGCCTACTAGAAAGCATCTAGCAACAGCAACAGCAACTGTACTAAATTAAATAGGAAAATAAAAAGATGGCCAAAAAGATCAAAACCAGAATTTCAACAGAGAATTGGAATATATTAGCAAACCAAGTGGACGTTCTAGAACTCATATTAAGAACTCATCGGATAGGCTTACAAGTAGATCATATACTGCAGAAGACAGAATTAGTGAACTCAAATATGGGTCACAAAAAAAATATTCAAAAAAAAAAATTTAAAAAGCAATGGAAAGAATAGAACAGAGTATCAGAAAATATTTGCAGTGAATAATATCTTTAAGTGTTTCCATTATTGAGAAGCTGCATGCTGAATATTACCCTAATTTTATAAACTAGAAACTGATTTTGTAACAGCCCTAGCTTCACTCAGCAATTTATTAGTGATCTGCTGCTCTGTTTGAAATCTAAATGAGATGATGAGAAAAAAATTACTAATGAACTGTTGTTACTAAATGACTATTTGAGGCAATTCATTTCTGTTCTATATATTTAAGTACTTTTATTCTTTTCCTGTTTGCCACAACACTAACCTTGGTAGAATAGTGGATTATGAGCTACCTACTAACCACAAATTCAGTAGTTCAAATCTACCAATCGCTCCAAGGGAGAAACGTGACACTTTCTGCTCCTGTATAGATTTACAGCCTCAGAAACCCCATACAGGGTCCCTATGAGTTAGAACCAACTTACTGGCACACTACCACCACAACCATAAACCTCTAAGCAGAAAATGTATTTGAGATTAAAAGTATTGTAAAGTACAAAGATACACATTATAATCATTGGTGTTGTATGCTGTCTCATAGCAACCCTGAATAGGGTTTCAGAGAACAGCCGATGGATTTGAACTGCCAACTTCACAGCAATCCAGTGTTTATCCTATGGTGGCATATCAGGGTTCTTATAAGGATTTGTTGTTGTTGTTAAGTGCCGTTGAGTCGGTTCTGACCCATAGCGACCCTGTACAAGGTTTCCGAGGGTGTAAATCTTTACGGGAGTGGAAAGCCTCATCTTTCTCCCGCGGAGCTGCTGGTAATTTCGAACTGCTGACCTTCAGGTTCGCAGCCCAATTCGTAACCACTATGCTACCAGAGAAAATCTAAGAAGTTTTATGAGTTAATCCCTTGGAGGACAGGTAACCCTTGATCAGCTCAAGGGGTACAGAAATTTCTAAGAGGAATGATAAAATCCTAATTTATTCAGAAAAGCATGAGATATAAAGCTTTTTTAAAGTGTGATTTAAGCAAAAATCAAATGACCAAGGCTGAATGGCATAATGGAGCCCTGGTGTGACGCTGTGGGTTAATGTGCTAGACTGCAAGGTCAGTTTGAGCCAGAAGGTCTGAGGTTCGAGCTCACCAGCTGCTCCTCGGAAACCCTATACAGAGTCACTGAGTTGTAATTGACTCAATGGCACTTAATAACAATAACAATACGGCGTAATGGTTAAGCCCTGGGCTGTTTACCAAAAGATCAACAAATCTGGCTCCCATAAAGACTTACAGCCTAGGAAACCCTATGGGCAGTTCAGGGTTGCTATAAGTGGGAATTGCCTCAACAGCACATAGCAATAACTGTATGTTGTTGTTAAACCAGAAGGGTCCATATCACAATACTTGAATGGTTTTTAAATTCGTTGGCTCAGACCCTACCTACCTCAGACATCCAAAGCAGAATTTCCAGAGATGGATTCTAGGATTTTAGGAGATGAAGATTCTTTTAGTTAATAATATTTACCTAAGCTAAGAATAAATTAAAATTTTGAAGCCTTTTAACAAATTTTGAGTGGTGGAGGAGATTTAAAGGAAAACAGGACTTTCAAATAAGAGGAATTTGTTGTTGTTGTTGTTAAGTGCCATCGAGTCGGGTCCGACCCATAGCGACCCTGTACAGGGTTTCCGAGGGTGTAAATCTTTACGGGAGTAGAAAGCCTCATCTTTCTCCCGCGGAGCGGCTGGTAGTTTCGAACCGCTGACCCTAAGGTTCGCAGCCCGATTCGTAACCACTACGCTACCAGAGCTCCTTAAGAGGAATTTAGGTGAATTAAATCTTTGACCTGACTTTGGACAAGAAGGTAAATTAAGAATGTGTGTGTAAATTTTATTGAATTGAAAAAAAAGAAGAAAGTGTGTATAAGGGCCACAAAATTTCATCAGTTAACATGTTAAGCAAATTAGAGAAATTAAAACATATAAATTCATTATTTTTCATGTGTCTAGACTACAATGACTTTGATAAAGAGGAAAACTATTTTTAGTATGCATACTTCTTCAGGTTGCAGTAAAGATACATCTGAAAAAGGGACCTTGAGAGGGCAGAACCACTAGCAGAATTTTCTTAATCACAGACCCATTCTCAAAATGTTTTTTAAATGTATAAAACAAAATACCTGGCAGTGCAAATACTTCTTTAAGATCCATTAAACAAGATATGGCAATATATCTAATGTCAGTGTTGTTAAGTGTTATGAAGTTGGTTCCAACCCATAGTAACCCTGTATAGTGTTTCCAAGGGGTAGCTGGTCAATTTGAACCTCCGGCCTCGTGGTTCAAATGAACCTTATGGACAAGTGCTTATCCTACAGTGATAATTTCGAAGTAGTGGTGATTGATTGTAGTTTGATATATCTGCAACTATTTGAAATGAAAATTTTCTAATTTCTATTGGTGACGAAATCTGAGATTTTGCTAGTGCTTTTGTGGTTTGTTGCCTACATTTATTATTGATGAAAATACTCCTGTGAGAGATTAGTGAAAATAAAGACTGTTTTTTCCCATCCAAGTTCATGGATCACATGAATTCTGTTCACAGATAAGTATCATGGTTAGTAATTACTTGTGATCTAGTTGTTTTAAAATACATTTGGTAATGGAGTCAAATATTAGGTGTGTCACACTTTATAAAAGAAAATGTTTCTGAAAAGATAAGTATAAAACAAATCATTGTATTCAAATCTGTTTATCTACTTTGTTTTCATTATAATATTGGAGATTGCATTACTCAGTGGGAAAGAATAATGTGGCTCCCAAATATAATAAAAAGTCATTTAAAAAGGAATCCGATTTTTAAAAACATTTAAAATAAATTTTGAAAAAATTGATCATGATAGGCATAAAATAGGTGTTCCATGCCTAATTATTGTATGGAGGGTATTGTATGCAGCATTTTGTGTGAATTACCATGTTTAATACTTAAATAATTGTATGATGTTGTTATTACTCTAACACACACACACATACCCCATTTTAAAGAATAGCCAATTTGTTGCATTGCGGTTAGACAGACCTAGATTCAGTCATAGATTCCACCACTTACCAGTTAAATGACTTGGGTCAAGTTAACCTCTCTTAAGTTTTCTTATCTACATCTACTTCATGGTGATAATGTGAGATAATGCATAAAGTAACTTAGCATGATACCTGGCACACAATAAGTTTGTCGACATTACCATTGATCCACATATTGCCAAAATCCAGGATTCCATTCTCAATCTCCATTTTATACCAGCCGTCAGTACCCTCTTCAATAAAACAGTTTCTTTACTTGACCTGTGTGATACCACTTGCTCTTGGCATGCTTAAAGGGCTCATTCCTTGAACCTCTTCTCTAACTCTCTAGATGATATCATATAGTCCCATAGTTTTAAATGACATATATAGGCTAGGACTATACTGTAACAGCTATGAACCCACACAGACCTAACCTCTCAATTCTTCAGGTTCACATTTCCAGATGCCACAGCAAATAAGAACAACTTAACATCTGAACTTGGATGTCTACTAAGCAATTCAAATTTAGTACTCAAAACTTAACATTTCATTTGTGTCCAGTGAATCCTGCTCCTCTTTCATTTTCTCCTTACTAAATGACAACTCCATTGTTGCAATTTATTAAGTTAGCGTCTCTTTCATAACACATAACCCATTTAAGTAATACTCTTTTCTACCTTCAAAAATTATCCATATTCTAAACCCTTTTCACCACATCCACTGCTACTACCTGATTAAAGTCATAACATCTCTCTCCTAGAGTATTGCAGTAGCTTCCTAACTGCTTCCTTTCTTGTTTCCCTTTAGTCTCTATTTCCCCATAGCCAAGGCTGATCTTTTTGAAAACAAAATCATATCACTCCTCTTCATAATACTCCAGTGTCTTCGCATCTCACCTAAAACAAAATCCAAAGTCTTTACCATAGCCAATGTGATCTATCCTTCTACTCTTTTTCAGATCACATGCTCTATCACTCTCTCACTGCCACACCATAACAACATATCACTCACTCTGTTTCAGCCATGTTTGCTACCTTGTGATTGGTTCCTCAGATATTCCATAAATTTCATTCACTTGCCATCTGCTCATTTTGGAAGATGTTTCTTTCATATCTGCAGGACTCACACCATCACATCCTCCAGTTCTTGCTCAAATATCACCTTTACAGAAAGACTTTTCCTGGCCAACCTTTTTAAAATTGTAAACTATCCAAGCATTCCAGATGCTCTTCCCTATAGAAAAAAAATATGTATATTGTTTCATTTATTTTCTGCCTCATCCAAGAAGAATGTTAGGTTCATGTGGGTGTAGGGATTTTTATCTGTTTTGTTCACTATGCTATTTCCTGTATCAACTACAAATTTGTTAAATTAATGACTTTTTAAATTTTAATACTTTATCAGGTACTACACAGTTTATGCCTGACCCCAAGTTCATGGATCACGGGCAGTCCCATCCAGAAGATGTAGATATGTACAGCACTAGAAGCTGAAATAGACTGCATAGAAAACTTCAAGATGTGTGAAGTTGCAAATAATGATGAAAAATCATGTAATGGGTAACTTGTGACACATAGAGTGTAAGTTTAAAATTTCCCCCTTACGTCTTGTAATGTATAGTTTGACCAATCACATCTGTGATTAATATGCAAATTGAATACAATACAAACAGTATTGAATGATTGATGAGGAGACGCTGGTATTAGGATGCATTTGATGACTTTTAAGGATGCTTATAAAAGACTAAAAAGGAATAAAGATATGGACAATGATGGAACTAAAATATGAAAATATGTACTTATATACACAAATATACCTGCTCTAGCCTTTCTAGCCTTTTCTAAATTAATGTTAGCTAAATCAAAATGGTAGAATGGTGTATGGAAGGATGCCCCGCCCCCTTTTATTGCATATCCCAAGTCTGGAATAAAATGTGCATATTTTTGGCACTTACACTTGGTTTTGTCTCTTTCTTTTTTTAACTTCTTATAAATGTCCAAAAACAACTAACTTTGTAAAGATACTTATATGCTACATATGATTCCTAAGCAATAATTATTGAGCAATTATTCTACTGGTTTTTTTTGTTTTGTTTTTAGGTAATTTCCTCTCTGTTCTCTTGGAGAGCTGTTATAGACCTTTTATTCTCAAACCTCCTATATCTGCCAAAGATAACTATTTCTCCTCTTTCATAGAGGAGGAGGGAAGTTATTAAATGTTATAATTCTCATTTTCTTCATATCTCTTTATCACTTAATTCTTTCTAGTCATGCTTTCATTTCCCTTTCAAATGAATGTCTCTGTTTGTGTATCTAATATCATCCCTTCCCATATTTTCTAGGACCTTACTCTATTTTGTTTTATCTTCAGTTTTTGGTTTCTACCTTCAGTCTTTTCCTCAACCTCTAAATAACTTAAGATCTTCTCAAAAACAAGACAGAAGTAAACTTTCATTAACTCTGGGTCTTCCAGTCAAGCTATATTTTCTTGTTTGTCAGTTTGTCATACTGTCATGCCTTGTGTGTTGCTGTGATGCTGGAAACTATGCCTTAAGATCACCCACATGTATAGATTTCAGCAAAGCTTCCTGACTAAGACAGACTAGTAATTACTAGTAATCACTCTCCTTAGTAGTCTGCCTATAGACACTGAAAACCTTATGAATAGCAAAGAATTATTGTCTGATACAGTGCCAAAAGATGAGGCCCTCGGGTTAGAAGGCATTCAGAATATGATGGGGGAAGAGTTGCTTCCTCATAGTATAGTTAACCTTAATGACAAGAATGGAATGAAGCTCTCAGGACATTTGTTTGCTGATTGGGCACAACTTAAAGTGAGAAAAAAACAGCTGTAAACATCCATTAATAATTGGAACATGGAATGTACAAAATATGAATCTAGGAAAATTGGAAGTCATCAAAATGAAATGGAATGCCTAAATATTTATACCCTAGGCATTAGTAAGCTGAAACAAACTGGTATTGGTCATTTTGAATTAGGCAATCATGGTTTACTATCTGGCGAATGACAAACTGGAGAGGAATAGCATCATATTCTTCATCAAAAAGAGTATTTCAATATATATCAAGTACAGTGCTGTCTGTGATAGAATGATATTCATATACCTACAAGAAAGACCTCAAACACCCTACACAGGGTACTATGAGTTGGAACTGGCTTGACGGCACTTAACAACAGCAAGGAAGACTATTTAATACCACTATTATTCAAATTTATATATCAACCGCAGAAGCCACTGATGATGAAATTGAAGAATTCTATCAGCTTTTTAAGTCTGAAATTGTTTCATTCAAATGTGCAATCAAGACGCATTGATAATTACTGGTGATTGTAATACAAAAGTTGGAAACAGGATGAATCTGTAGTTGGAAAATAATGGCCTTGGTGTTGGAAATGATGCTGGAGATTGTATGATATAATTTTATAGTACCAATGATGTATTCGTTGCAAATGCCTTTTCTAAAAAAACATAAAACTCAAGTGTACACATAAACCTCACCAGATGGAATATAAAGGATTCAAATTGACAACATCTGTTGAAAGAAATAGTAGAAATACTCAATATCATCAGCCAAAACAAAGTCAGGGGCCAAATGTGGAAAACTGTAAACTACTCAAGCACACCAGATGTAATTTCAGGTTGAAGCTGAAGAAAATTAAAACAAGTCTATATGGTCTTGAATATACTCCACCTGAATTTAGAGACCATCTCAAGAACAGATTTGATGCATTAAACACTAATGACTGAAGACTGTAGGAGTTGTAGGATGACATCAAGAACATCATCCATGAAAAAATCAAAAAGTCATTAAAAAGACAGGAAATAAAAGACCAGAATGGGTGTCAAAAGAGACTCTGAAACTTGCTCTAAGAAATGTAGAGAAGCCAAAGTAACCAGAAGAAATGAGGAAATCAAAGATCTAAACAGGAAATTTCAAAGGGCAGCTGGAGAAGACAAAGTAAATATTATAATGAAATGTGCAAAGATGTGGAGTTAGAAAATCAAAAGAGAAGAAAACAGCATTTCTTAAGTTGAAAGAACTAAAGAAAACATTCAAGCCTTGACTTGACTGAAGGATTCTGTAGGCAAAATATTGATTGGCACAGGAACCATCAAAAGAAGATAGATGGAAGGAATGCACAGAATCACTGTACTGGAAAGAATTGACCCATGTTCAACCATTTCAAGAGGGTATCATATGTCAAGAACAAGTGATACTGAGGGAAGAGAGGTCCAAGCTGCACTGAAGGGATTCGTGAAAAACAAGGCTCCAGGAAATTAATGGAATTCTGGTATGGTACTGTAGGATTAAGCACTGGACTTCTAACCACAAAGTCGGTGGTTCAAACCCATCAGCCACTCTTTGGAAACCCTATACAGGGTAGCTCTGAGTTAGAACGGACTCAAGGACATCTAACAACAAAAAACAAGAAGGAATTGATGGAATACAAATTGAAGTGTTTCACCAAACTATTTAAGTACTGGAGATGCTCACTTGTTTACATGAAGAAATTTAAAAGATAGCTACTTGGCCAATCAATGGGAAGAGATCCATATTTTTACCATTTCGAAGAAAAATGACCCAGTGGAATGAAAAAAAAAATCATTGAACAATATCCTTAATATTACATGCAAATAAAATTTTACTGAAGATAATTTAAAAACTATTGCAGCAGTACAACAGGGAACTGCCTGAAATTCAAGCTGGATTCAGAAAAGGTCATGAAATGAGGGATATAATGCTTATGTTAGATAAATCTTGAGTATAAGCAGAGAATACCAGAAAGATGTTTACTGGTGCTTTTTTGACTATGACTGTGTGGATCACAACAAACTGTGGATTACATTGTTAAGAATATGGGCATTCTAGAATGCTTATTGTGTTCATGTGGAACCTATGCATAGACCAAAAGGCAGTCGTTAGACTAGAACAAGGGGATACTGAATGGTTTTAACTCAGGAAAGGTGTGCATCAGGGTTGAATCCTTTCATCATACTTATTCAGTCTGTATGCTGAGCAAATAACCTGAGAAGCTGGATTATATGAAGAAGAACATGGCATCAGGATTTGAAGAATACTCATTAACAACCTGTGATATTACAGATGAGGCAACCTTGTTTGCTGGAAGTGTAGAAGACTTGAAATGCTTACTGATGGAAGATCAAAGACTACAGCCTTCAGTATGGATTTCATTTCAATGTAAAGAAAATGAAAATCTCCATAACTGGACCCCTAAGTAACATAATGATAGATAAAGAAAAAATCGAAGCTGTCTAAGACTTCCTTTTACTTGGACCTACAATTAAGACTTGTTAATTGAAGCAGCGATCAAGAAAACAAATGACCTATTAATTAGGTAACTCTGCAGCACAATATCTGTTTAAAGTATTCAAGAAAAGATGTCAGTTTGAGAAGTAAAATATGCCTGGCCCAAGCCATGGTAGTTTTAGTTGCCTCATATATGTGTGAGTTAGACGATAAATAAGGAATGCAGTAGAAGAATCTGTGCATATGAATTACTGTGTTGAAAGTGCCATTGACTGCCAGAAGAACAAACAAATCTCCGTTGGAAGGAGTACAGCCTGAATGCTTCTACGTTGGAAGGAGTACAGCCTGAATGCTTCTTAGCAGCGAGGATGGCAAGACTTTGTCTCTTATACTTTGGACTATTGTTAGGAGGGACCAGTCTTTGGAGAAAGATATCATGCTTGGTAAAGTGGAGCATCAGCATAAAAGAGGAAGACCTCTAATGAGATGGATTAACATGGTTGCAGCAACAATGGGTTCAAGCATAGTAATTGTATGATGTAGGACTAGGCTGAGTTTTGTTCTGTTGTGTATAGGTATGCTGTGAGGAACCAACTCGAAGGTACCTAACAGCAGCAACAGCCTGATTCTTCTACTCAAGCTATCTTCTCTTTTTCTATGATTTCCATACTTTAATTAAAAAATTAATTGTCAACATGGACAGATACACAGGCTGAATGGTTATGTGAGGGAGAGTAGGAGTATACCCATAAATATATAAAAGTTTGACAAGGTAATTGTATATGGGTATTTTACTCTTGTTGCAAAAATACTTATGAATGCAATGGAGCAAGAAGGGTCTGAAGGATGAAAGCTTAGACATTACCAAATACCTTGAGGTAATGAGTTGCTGGGCCATGGTGTCTCAAGACCATATTCCAGAGGCCATCATTGTGTCCTCAAAGACAATGGTCTACATCCTACTTTATTTTTTAGATAAATAACATCTTTATTTATGGTAATCGTCAGCATGAACCACGGTGGACTTTGTGGTTCCCAGTCCAGTACTTATTTTACTTTAGTTGTATTTTTTATTTAAAACATTTTGTTAATCACTGTAGGACATACTTAGGAATAATGAACTATGGGATCTGTTGCTGGTTCTGAATTCTGGTTGACAATTTGAGGGGTCATTTAATATATTTGGCAGCTGATGAGGTTGACAGCCCCAGCAAGTTTTAGCTAGACTAATAAGTAAACTTTCCACCACTCATCTGTCAGTTTGTTGTACTGTG